ATCCACTGAACCCAAGTAGCGCCCACACCCAAGGATAGAACTGTTTGAGCTCCCTAGTAGCGATACACTCATGACAGATTGAGCGGTGTATCCGAAGGTACTCCCACCAATGACCCATCACTGAGTACAGTAACCAGCACCATCACCTGAGCAGGGTAACCAGCACCATTACAGAGTACAGTAACCAGCACCAGAGAATCCCACCAGCCCTTCGGGCGTGAGTGGTTTAGCGAGCTCTATATGTTCTCAACCCCCCTTCTTCCCCTTCGGGGAGGGGTTTATCCCTCCCCCTACCCCCTCCCCCTGGGCCTGGAGAGGGCGTTTCGCGGGTGGTTGGAGGGGTCTTTTTCGACTCCTGGGAGGGCTAAAATTCGACACCCCTCACGAGGATTCTGGCCCCGACGGGGGGGGGGAGAAAAATGCTCGCCCCATATGTGATCGATCGCCCCAAAGATGGCCCCAACAGGCCCCCAAGACGCTCCAAGAGGCGCCCAAGAGGCCTCCAAGAGGCCCCCAAGAGGCCCCCAAGAGGCCCCCAAGAGGCCCCAAGAGGCTCCCCCGAGGCACCCAAGACGCTCCTGGAAGCCCCTGGGGCCGCCAAGAGGCCCCCAAGACGCCCCAAACGGCCTCCAAGAGGCTCCCAAGAGGCCCGAAGAGGCTCCTTCAAGGCACCCAAGACGCTCCTAGAAGCCCCTGGGGCCGCCAAGAGGCCTCCAAGACGCCCCAAAAGGCCTCCAAGAGGCTCCCAAAAGACATCTACTACTACTACTACTACTACTACTACTACTACTACTACTACTACTACTACTACTACTACTACTACTACTACTACGACGACGGGACGACGACGACGAGACGACGACGGGACGGACGACGACGACGACGACGGACGACGGACGACGACGACGACGACGACGACGACGACGACGACGACGACTACGACTACGACGACGATACGACTACGACTACGACTACGACTACGACTACGACATACGACTAACGACTACGACTACGACTACGACTATACTACTACTACGACTACTACTACTACTACTACTACTACTACTACTACTACTACTACTACTACTACTACTACTACTACTACTACTACTACTACTACTCCTACTGCGACGGGCCCGAACGACTTGCACCAGGACGAGGTGCCCGAACGCCTCATGCCACGAGGAGCCCGAACGACTCACACCAGGACGAGGGGCCCGAACGACTCGCACCACGAAGAGCCCAAACGACTCACACCAGAAGGAGGGGCCCGAACGACTCACACCAGGAGGAGGGGCCCGAACGACTCACACCAGGATGAGGGGCCCGAACAACTCACACCACGAGAAGCCCGAACGACTCACACCAGGACGAAGAGCCCGAACGACTCACACCACGAAGAGCCCGAACGACTCACACCAGGACGAAGGGCCCGAACGACTCACACCAGGACGAGAAACCCCAAACGACTCAAACCACGAGGAGCGCTTTCTCTCCCTCCTCCTCCGCCTCGTCCTTCTCCCGCTCCCACCACAAGGAGGATGTACAAGGAGGCGGGAGGATAGAGGAACAGGGGAGATATGCGGGGGCAGGCGGAAACACGCCTGAAAAACACGACTGTCGACATGCTTCGCAAGAGTTGCTGTTTTGAGATGGGCTGGTGGGGATACGCGAAGCGTGAAGAATTTTTGGAGCTCAGAAAACACTGGAATACCAAGGAAATGTCGTGCAGCTCAATGCAACTTACAGTGGGCACAGCCAGAAGGAGTGCGAAGCTGAGCTCCCCGGATCTCCGACGACCTGTTCCTGCTCGGTCGGAGTGTACTTCGTCGACTGGGGCCTCCCGGGCCCGCTGCTCGGGGCCCCCTGTAGACCCTCAGAAACGCGTCCTGGACGAAGAACTGGAAACTTCTCCTCCTCCTCCTCCTCCTCCTCCTCCTCCTCCTCCTCCTCCTCCCCCTCCTGGGGAGGAGGAAACGCCCTCCGTAGCCGGGAAAGGGTCGGGAAAGGGTCGGGACTTCTGGGGTGGCGCGTGGGCGGAGCCGCCGGGCAGGGTGCCCTTTGGTGGCTCCAGGCACCCCATCGGGTCGTGAAAACAACTACGGCGGGAGGTCTGGGGAAGTCGGCCTCTTAACAGCCCTTCCTAGGCCCCGGGAGCGTCAAAAACCTACACACGATGAAGCGCCCTTTGGTGGTTCCAGGCGCCCATCAGGTCGTGAAAACGATGACGGCGGGAGGTTTGGGAAAGTCGGCCTCTTAAGAGCCCTTCCTAGGCCCCGGGACCGTCAAAAACCTACACACGACGAAGCGCCGCGCAGATTCGTTTCAAAGACTCGCAACAGCTTCACGGCCTGAGGGCGGTTCCTGCTCAAAGTGTGGCTCTCGCCTTAGCGCCGCGCACTTTCATTTTTCAAAATTTGCGAGAGGTTCACGATTTGAGGGCGGGTAGTTTTCAAAATGTGGCTCTCGCCGTCGGGCCGCGTACATTCGATCTACAAATGTGTAAGAGCTTCACGAATTGAGGGCGGCTCATTTTCAAAATGTAGCTCTCGCCTTAGCGCCGTGCACATTCGTTTACAAATTTTACGAGAGTTCCACTGATTCCCATGATGAACATACCAGACATGGTGTTTTGAAAAGATTCAGGACCATGCGGGTGCACCAGTTACGTTGATTCGCGGTGTTGCAGTCCCAGGAATGAGGTTCTGGCGCGATTCAGGCTCGTCAAGACGCAACGGTCAAGTGATCTGTGGCATTGGAACCCCGAAATCAAAGCTTGGCATGTTTAGAATCTTCAAACGGTTGTCGTCCGACGAAGTAGTTCCCCCAGTGGAGATGAACCGTTGTAGGAGCCTATGAAGAGGAAGCTTGGAGGGAGGGTTCATTGCAACATCGTTGGTGACTCTTGGGTTTACAAGCCTTCCTCCTCCTCCTCCTCCTCCTCCTCCTCCTCCTCCTCCTCCTCCTCCTTCTCCTCCTCCTCCTCCTCCTCCTCCTCCTCCTCCTCCTCCTCCTCCCCCTTCTCCTCCTCCCCCAGTCCCCTGACATTTTATATGAAAAGTCGTACTGTCCTTCCTTTCCGCCTGAAAAATCGTCTGGGGGGGCCTGCCCGAGCCCTTCTTGGGCGTCCTGGGGGTCCTCTTGGCCCTGTTGGAGGCCCTCTTGGCCCTGTTGGAGGCCCCCTTGGCCCTGTTGGAGGCCCCCTTGACCCTGTTGGAGGCCCTCTTGGCTCTGTTGGGGGCCCTCTCGGCCCTGTTGGAGGCCCTCTTGGCCTTGTTGGAGGGCCCTCTCGGCCCTGTTGGAAGCTTTCTTGAGCGTCCTGGAGGCCCTCTTGGGCGTCCTGGAGGCCCCCTTGGGCGTCCTGGAGGTCCTCTTGGGCGTCCTGGAGGCCCTTCTTGGGCGTCCTGGAGGCCCTCTTGGGCCTGTTGGAAGCTTTCTTGAGCGTCATGGAGGCCCTTCTTGGTCCTGGAGGCCCTTCACGAACGTCCTAGAGGCCCTTCTTGGGCGTCCTGGAGGCCCTCTTGGGCCTGTTAGAAGCTTTCTTGGGCGTCCTGGAGGCCTTCTTGGACCTCCTGGAGGCCGTCTCGGGCGTCCTGGAAGCCGTCCTGGGCCTGTTGGTGGCCTTCTTGGACCTGTTGGTAAGCACAGCGATGACTTGCAATTCGCTGTCAAGCACAGCCACCAGCACAAGTACCAGTACACCTCCCAATAAAGCTACCGCTCCAAGCACAACTACCGCCACAGGTAACAGTGCAACTCCCAATAAAACTACCACCAACTCCCAGTAAAGCTACAACGACAGCTACCGCTACCGCTACAGATACCACGTCTGCGACCATTACAGCCACCAGAACAGCTACCAATGCAGCTCCCAATGCTGCTACCAGCACAGGTACCCGTACGGCCACCACTGCAGGTGGCACTACAGCTCCCAATAAAGCTCGTAGTAAATCTACCATGGCAGGTACCACTTGTTACCACTACAAATGCCAGTGCAAGTACCACTACAACTACCACGACAAGTACCAATTCGGCTACCGTGAAAGCGACCAGTACAGGTACCAGTTCAGCCACGGCTACGACTACCACGACAGATACCAGTTCATATATCACTACAGCTACCACTACATCTACCACTACAGTTTCCAATACAACTACCAATATAGTTACCACTGCAGCTGCCACTACGGATGCCACTACATCTGCCAATGCAGCTACTGCCCCAGCTCACAGTGCAATTCCTACTTCAGCATCCACTACAACGGCCGATCCCGCAAAAGAAGCGAACAGTGTAAAGATGAGTAACGTCTTTGTTGGTGTACCACTACTTCTCCTAAGGAAACCAGAAAGGTTCAATCCCCGGATGAAGTTGCTCAGGAAACTCATGCGCCGCCATTAAGGTGACTCCTGGCCTTCTGGATGTAAGATGAACCACGGCTATATACAGTTATATAGCAGCTGCTGCAAGATGTGAGGCGTCGACCACCCAGAAGACTTCAATCCCCAAACGACTTCCGGGGATTGAACCGCTCAGCCGGGGATTGAACCGTTCCTCCAGGGATTAAACCCATCGCCCTCTTCCCATCGCTCCTCCTCCTCCTCCTCCCTCCTCCTCCTCCCTCCTCCCCCGCCCTCCCAGCCCCCTCCTCCCTCCTCCCCCTCCTCCTCCCCTCCCTCCTCCTCTCCTCCTCCTCTCCTTCCTCCTCCTACCTCCTCTCCTCCTCCTCCTCCTCCTCCTCCTCCTCACTTCCTCCTCCTCCTCCTCCTCCTCTCTCCGCCTCCTCCTCCTCCTCCTGCCGCCTCCTCCTACCTCCTCCTCCTCCTCCTCCTCCTCCTCCTCCTCCTCCTCCTCCTCCTCCTCCTCCTCCTCCTCCTCCTCCTCCTCCTCCTCCTCCTCCTCCTCCTCCTCCTCCTCCTCCTCCTCCTCCTCCTCCTCCTCCTCTCCTCCTCCTCCTCCTCCTCCTCCTCCCCTGGGGACGGAGGCCGCCGGCTGGCCCAACGCTCCTGGAGTCCTCGCGCCCGCCGCTGCGCAGGTAGGCCCGGTGCAGCTCCAGGGGCAACCGGCCGCCCTCGTCGAGCGCCAGCAGCCGGAGCCTCCCGGAGAGGCGCTCCCCGCTGGCCTTGGGTGCGAGGGGTGGCGAGAATAGTTTTGTCTCCAGCGCAGGCCGTTTGACTGCCCTCCGTACCACCACAACCACCCAGCCCGAAGACCCAAATTTCGGGCTGGGGGGGGGATCCAGGTCCCAAACGTCTGTCTTCAATGTTCCCCGACGCCCCCTCCCCTCATCTGGGAATGGAGGACAAATTGGGGCCTTCGGGTTGGGTTGGGGTGCTTTGGTGGGTGGTGACTTTTTGGGAGAAGAAGGGGGAATGCAGAGGAGACGAAGAGCGGACAGACCACACCACAAGCCCCAGCAGTGGGAGTCTGGGCACATCTACGGGGGCACCACCAAAAGTCGGTAAGGACTGAACGCTTGACGACTTGAAAGGGCCCCAGGGAGACGCGAATCAATCGGCACACCTTCCAAGAGGTTCAACATTGTTACGTAGTTCCTGGATGTTCCTCGTCCCCCCCCCCAATGCCCATGCTTCCTCGAAAGCAAGCGCTGATATGCGTGGGTGCGGCGGCGCGTGCGTGCGTGCATCTCGCGGTGCGCTCGGCGCTGCGACGCTCGCGCGCGACTCGTGCCCCCTTCTCCAGCCGGCTCCGGCTCCTTGCCGCCCGGGTGCTCCGCTGCGGGCCCCCTCCCCCTCCCGTGCCCGCGTGCCGGGGCCCCCTCGCTCGCCGGGGGGCCGCGCTCTCGGGGCCGGCGGCTGCTGGGGACGCCCCGCCCCCCCGCGCGCTGCGCCAGCTCTTCGCCGCTCGGGTGCTGGCCGCCCCTCCCCCGGCCGCGTCCCAGGGCCCCCCCCCTCCCTGCCTCCTCCCTCCTCCCCTCCCCCCCATTGCCTCCTCCCTCCCCTGCCTCCCCCTCCTCCTCCTTGCCTCCTCCCCCCTCCCTGCCTCCCTCCCCTCCTCCCTGCCTCTCCCCCCATACTGACCTCCTGCTCCCTCCTCCTGCACTTCCCCTCCTCCCCTCTCCCCCCCCCCCCCGCCAGCACCTCGCGGGCGCCTCTGGCGCTCGGCCAGCCGCCTGGCCACGGCCTCTGTGGGCTGCGCCCGCGCTGCGCGGCCGGGCTCCGGCGCCGGCGCTCCCGCGCTCGGGTCGCCTGCCCGGTCGCCTCCGTGGTCTGTCGCGCCCCCGGCCGTCCTCCGCACGCGTCCCGCGCCGCCTCTCGGCGCAGCGCTCAGGTCGGGCATGTCCCCCTACAGGCGGAGCTTCAGGGAAGAATTGAAAATGCTACAAGGATAATCGAACATGATTACAAAACTGTTACTATTAATAATAATAATAATAATAATAATAATAATAATAACATTAATAATAATAATAATAATAATAACATAAATAATAATAATAATAATAATAATAATAATAATAATAATAATGATAATAATAATGCTAACAATAATATTAATAATAATAATAAGAAGAAGAATAAGAATAATAATAATAATAATAATAATAATAAATACTAAGAATATTCTGTTAATGAAACAATAATGATACTAATAAGAATAATAATACGAATACTAATCCTACTGATAATAATCATAATAATGGAAAAATCGTCCCCAGACTAACTTCTACAATATTTCTGAAAATCCTCCTGTAGAGGGACACGCCCGACTCAACACAGCGCCTGCTCCACTCAGCGGCCGGCCCACGTGGACGATTGCTCCCAGCGTGGATCCGGCTCCGCGGCCCTCGTGCCTGCTGCACGGCACCAGCTCTCCTGCCGCGCCTGGTCGCCGCTGCTCGTCGCCGCGCGGTGGCTCCGACCCTGCGCTGCGGGCTCGCTGGCCTTTGCCTGGCCTCCTCGCCGTCGTGCGAGGAGGCCTGACCTGGTTTTAGGGTCGGGCGTGTCCCCCTACAGGGGGACCTTGGGCGAAGAATGCAAGCACCCCAAACATACCCCAAACAAGATTCAGAAGCCGCCAAAAGTCGTGCCAATAGTTTCTTTCCTATCTTTGAAAATCCCTCCTGTAGAGGGACAACAGGCCCGACTTGAACCCGGTTGCCTCTGCCGCTCCCTGGTCGCCCCTGGCTCCGGCTCTGCGCCCCAGCCTCCTGGACTGCGGTCGGCCCGCCTCGCGACACGTGCGCGATGAGGCTGCAAGGGCCCTGGGCGCTCGCGTCGAAGCGTCTCGAGCGGGGCGCGGCCAACGAAAGGGGCCAAAAGGATGAACTGAGGAGGCAAAGCCGCAAGGGCACCCTTGGGTTATGTTGCTCCCATCGTACTTGAGGGCCACATCCCAGAAACGATTTCGAGCACCCCGAAAAGTGTTGAGAGAGTGTCGAAAGAGTGTCGAAACAGTGTCGGACGAATATCTCCCAGGGCCCGACAAGCGAAAACCCTCGAGATTTGGGGTATTGTTCTGGTGCTCGAAATTATTTCTGGTGGTCAGGGCTAAAATAGGTTGGAACATCATAACCCTTGGGGAGGCTGCCCATCCCTACCGTGCGGGTTGACCGCATCTCCCTGCGCACGCCTTGCGCTTCGCCGTGCTCTGCCGGCAACCGCTTCCGGAGCTCGGAAGGCTGCCCCTCCCTACCGTGCGGGCTGACGGTATCTCCCTGCGCCCGTGCTCTGCCGGCAACCGCTTCCGGAGCTCGGAAGTCCCTGCGCACGCCTGGCGCTTCGCCGTGCTCTGCCGGCAGCCGCTTCCGGAGTTCCCGCTCTCAGAGTGCGGCCTCCGCTCCGCGGCGCCCTCCTCCTCGCTGCTGCCCATCCCTCCCCGTGCCACACAACTCGCCTCGTGGGCTGTGGCCCCTGGGTGTTCGACCGACGCCCGCGTGCTTGCGCCCGCGGGCTACTAAAAGGTGTTTCTGCACCTGTTTCGGGGGTGGACAGGGCCCCCTTTAGCAAGACGTGGTTTGGTGAAAACGGCCCCGGGCCCGAACGTGGCGGGCGCAAGCCTCGACTCGCGCTGGAGCGCCCACGGCTCGACTCAGAGTTCGCTGGGGATCTGTGGATCTGCCCAGATTTCTCTGAAGCTACGCCGAGTGGATGAATTTCGTCTTGCCTGGCCTGATCCCCGCAGGTCGAAGTGGAGAAAGTCGTTCAGAACTCTTGGAAACAGGCCTCGAGGTTCGAGGTTCAATGATTTCAGGCGTCTTCGTCAGTTCTCGTCGGTATTTTCCAGCCTCGGGGTGCCAGCGGCTGCGCCTCGCCGAGAGCGTTTCCGCGATGCTCGGATCGTCCCGAGCGGCCGCCGGAGAAGCGAGAGTCTTCGCGCCCGCCCGACAGCTGGGGGCAGCACTATAGCAGGGAAGTGGGAAAGCACGACCTGGAGTCGGCAATGCATCGCCAACCGATCGGCGATGGGCCCCCGGTACCGAATCCTCACGTTCCTCGGCGGAGTGGGGGAATCGTGGTCCTCTTGGCGATGAGATGGGTCACGTGGGGGTCGATGCGTCTCCCCCCGAGCCCATCTCCCCCCGACGTGGCCCCCTGGGGGAGGGGGCGGGACCTCCGGCGAGTGGAAGAAACTATACAATTACACCTGACAAAACCCCAATCAGTGGATGATTTGAAAATTGATACTATGGATCTTGAGATCGATATTGAGATCGATAGTGGAATCGATAGTGAGGACGATTGTAAGGTCGATCGTAAGACCGAGAGTGGCATCGATTCAATGAGATCGATACTAAGATCGATCGCGAAATCGCTCATGCGATCTCTAGTGAGATCGCTTGTGAGATTGATAGTGAGATCGATTGTGAGATCGATCGAGAAGTCGGTAATGAGATCGATGGTGAGATCGATCGATAAGAAGATCGGCCAAAAATCCGGGAACCCGGGAACCTCGCCACCCTCCGAAATCGGCCCGGAACCGGGAACCGGGAACCGGGAACAGGGAACCGGGAACCCGGGAACCCAGGAACCCAGCCTGCCACCAAAATCGGCGGGGAACTGTCGCCAAATCCTTCAACTTCCGCTAGGACCCCTTCAGTGCAAGCACTGATTGGGGAAAAATGGTTCCCCGTGTTCAGCCCCTGGGGCCCTCGCAAGGCCCCGGGACAGTTAAAAAACGACTCAGGATGAAAAGACGATCCCGAGGAAGGGATAAAAACCTCAGGAGAGGTCAAATCGAATCGATAAGCCGGACCGGCGATCGAAATGAATCGGATCGGCGGAAGTCGGAAGCCAAGTCGGAAGAACTCGAACCAGCGGAAATCGGCAGGCCAGTAGTAAGGCCCCCATGGAGACACCGCCACCCGAATCGGAATCCGAGGTCGAGTCGAATGGGAATCGGAATCGGCCTCGACCGAAGTCGAATCAAGTCGAGCCGGAGGGGTCGAAAGGAGCCCCGCTGGGGAGCCGCGTCTTGGAGAAGACACGCGGCGTCGGACGTCTGCGGGCGCGGAGGGGGGGGGGGGCGGCAGCCACGGCACCGAAGCGCGGGGGGGGGGCTGGGGGCCCCTCGAGGCTAGGCTGCCCAGGCTTCAGTCGGGCGCGTCCCCCCACAGGGGGATTTGGGGCGAAAAAAAACACTCCACAAATACCCCCCCTAATGGGCAAAAATAATCAAAAAATCGTCCCCAGACTATTTTTCCGTTATTTTTGAACATCCCTCCTGTAGAGGGACAGGCCCGCCCTAAGGCTGGGCAGCGCCTGTGGGAGCGAGCAGGGGCCATGGAGTCCCCGTGGCCCAGATTCCAATCAGGGTCGAGCCCGATTGGGCCGGACCCGGCGGGGCGGAGCCAGACTCGACGGGATCACGCCTGCCGGATGAGGCCTGCTCTCGACCACGGGCATGCCAGCGCCGATGCCGAGTGTAACCCCCCGGGGGGTGCATCCTCACAGGAGGGAGGGCGCGGAGGCTGCGGCAGGGGCGCGGAGGGGGCGGGGGGGCCCTCAACGGCAGTGGTCGGCTCGACCCGCGACGGCTGCAACGGTTGCGCAGTGGTTGCAACCCACCTGCGAGGCGCCTGCAAGTGGGTCGCACCCACCTTGCAACTGCGGCATGTTACAGCGGTCACCGCAGGGGGGCTCGGGCCCGCTCTATATATATATATCTATATATATATATATATATATAAATATATAATATAATATATATATATATATATAGATATATATATTATATATATATATATATTATTTTGGCCCCCAGACCAACAAAATCCCAGCGAAGAAGGAGCCCCCGGGGGGGGGGGCAGTCGAACCGCGAGCAAGTTTGGTGCATGGTCGGCGGGGTTGCCCCCATTTGGCCATTGGCGTGGCTTGCCCAGACCGACCCCCGCTACATCCCCTCCTTGTCGGCCCCCTCCCCCTGGAGCGCCCCCGAGGCACCCGGAAGCCTCCGGAGACCCCATGCGGGCTCTGGAACGCCCAGACTGACTGAAGCGCCCAAAACCTCGATCCTCGAATCCTCCCTCGCCAGACCCCCGACGTCGTGATTCCGTCACAACGTGGAACCCCCCGGAGATCTAGCCCCCGGAACTGGCTTTTCATCCTAAGTCGTTCTGTGACAACCACAAGTTTGGCCCAGCCAGGGCTCCCAAAGACCGAAGACCAAAGCCCAGCCAGGGCTCCCAAAGACCAAATACCTGCGTCGTGATTCCTTCATGGCCAGAGGGACGAGAGCATGCTGCTGCGCGTGAAGCGAGTGCCAAGGAGAAGCGTCGATGCGGAGGCCTCCATGCCTTTTTCTTGAATTCTTAGCCGGCTACGATGCCCACTCATGCCCACCCTTAGTGGGCCCCAGAAACGGCAGGGCCGTTATTTCACCGTTTCCCAAAAAATGACCCTTGAAAATGGAAACGCAAAAAAACGGCGACCGGAAACGGCAAAAAAACGGCTCCAGGATTGGAACTGGAGCCGGAACCGGTGAAAGAGCGGCGACGAACCGGTAAAAAAACAGCGTCGGAGCTGGCAAAAAAACGGCAAAACGGAACCAGTAAAAAAACGGCTCTGTCGTTTCCTGGGCCCTCTAAGTGCCCACCCCGCCCCGTCTTCGGGGACTTCGCGTCCCCATCACCGATGGTGGGATGTGAGAGGCGGGCGCCGACCCCCCCCCCCCCCCCCCCCCGGGCCCTGCGCGCGCACGGCGCTGGGCCCGTGCCCCCCCCCCTGGTGGGAGCTGCGAAGGGGCCCTCCGCACTCGAGCAGGGACTGACCCTCCCAGCGCTCGTGCAGGCCTACCACGGCACGCTCACAGAACAAACCGATGTTCGAAGAACGAAGCGGTGCTCTTCGAACAGAAAGCCGATGGCTGAAGTCAAGACGGCCTGGACCACCAGTGGACGTAAGAGCCTGTCGCGCAGACCGCAAGAGGGCCTGTGGAGCAGCTGTTGGTGGGCCTGCAGGCGAGTCGGGACGCTCTGCCACTGCCCGACTCGCACCTCCCCGCGGCCCCGCGCGCCCTCCCGCCTCGGGGTCGCCCCCGTGGGGGCACGCGCTGCCGGAGGCCAGGAGCTGCTCGACGGCGCCCGCCTGGTGGGGTGGGGGCTCGGGCGGCACGCTTGCGCCCAGGGGCACGAGCGCAAGGCGCGAATGCTCGGCGGCGTGCTCAGGGGGGGGGTTAGTGTGGGAGGTTGGGATTCGAGGCTCGAGATCTTCGGATGCTTGCATTGCCTCTCGGCGGTTCTCCCGCCTCGGGGCACCTTCCAGCGGCTGCGCCTCGCCGAGAGCGTTCCGAGGGTGCCTGGCCCGCCCCGAACGGCCGCCGAATACCGCCAGCAGAGGGAGCCGGTCCTCTCCGAAGGCTCAGAAGGTCCCCGGCCTTCTGGGAAGCCGCCGAGGCCTGCTCCGAGGATCGGGTCGGGCGAAAGGGGGGGATAGCAAAGGGGGGGTTTGAGAATCAGCTCACGTAGCTGATTTTCCTGGCGCCTCCCGGCGCCGGAAGCGGCCATGTATCGAGGAATGGGCCCCTCGGTGAGGCCGAAACCAGCTGCATGCAGCAGATTTCGTAACCCCCCTTTCCCAATCCCCCCCTTTCGCCCGACCCGAGAGGACAGGGGGCGGCTTCCCCGGAGGCCGGGGGGCTCCCGAGCAGCCCCGCCGCCTGCTCAGGAGGCCCGCCCCTCTCGCTGCCCCCTGGGCGAGCCGCCGGGGGGCGGGGCCAGAGCGCAGGCTTTGGACGCCCGAGTTATCCGGGGTAACTCGGGTCCGGGGTAACTCGGGCTTGGGTTCCCGAAAAACGAACCCGAGTTAGCCCTGACCCGAGTTACCCCTGATGATTTTTCGGCTCTGGACGCCCGAATTATCCGGGGTAACTCGGGTCCGGGATGAATCGGGTTCGGAATCCCGAAAAACGAACCCGAGTTAGCCCTGACCCGAGTTACCCCTGATGATTCGGGGCTCTGAAGGCTGCTGGGGCAGGCGGCAGCGGGGGAAGGGCCGCGCAGCGGCAGCGGGGGTCCGAGGGCACGGGGCAGGGGCGAGGCGAAGGGGGCGGCGAGAGGGGGGGCGGCAGGGGGCAGCAGGGCGGGCGGCGAGCCACAGAGAGAGAGGGAGAGAGGGCTCATCCTGAGATCCGGCGTCGCGAGCACGTCGCCGCGCCGTGAGGGCAGATCCCCCCGGCGCGCCCCGGGCCCCCATCCTGCCTGCCGCGCCTCTCGAGCCATACATCGGTCCGTGAGGGCCCCGCGGGCCGAGGCAGGGCGAGGCAAGCCCGCCGCGGAGCGAGGGAGGAGGCGCCCCGGACTCGGCGGCGCCGAAGGCTGTGGCTCGCAAGGTGTGGCTTGCGACCCGCACCCCCGAGGAGGAGGAGGAGGAGGAGGAGGAGGAGGAGGAGGAGGAGGAGGAGGAGGAGGAGGAGGAGGAGGAGGAAGGAGGAGGGGGAGGAGGGAGGAGGAGGAGGAGGAGGAGGAGGAGGAGGAGGGACGGAGCAGGAGGAGGAGCAGGAGGAGGAGCAGGAGGAGGAGACGGAGGAGGAGGAGGAGGAGGAGGAGGAGGAGGAGGGGCGGGCAAAGATGTCGACGGCGTCCTCCACCGCACGGAGGCCCGCCGACGAGGACGGCGTGGTGCCCCCCAGGCCCCGACGACGCAGAGATCGCAAGCCACACCCCGGCGCAAGCACACCCTTTTATTGAGGAGGGGGAAAGACACACAGACACAATCAATCGTCGACTCCCAGAAAGTATGGGAAAATATGGGAAGCGGGGGGAAGACAACACCCCCGAAAATATACGAAAATATGGCGAATGTTGTTAGTTGTGCGTGTATCTCTTTGTGTGTCCCAGGGCCTCTTCACCTTTGTAGTCGCCGAAGGATCTCGGGGTTTTCCCGCCTCCAAGGGCTCCTAACTTCGCGCTTCGCGCTGCGCGAAGCGCGAAGCGCGAATAACTTCGCCCTCTCGCGCCACCTCCCAGGGAAGAAGAGGAGGATGAGGAATCGGAGCCGAAGCGCGAAGGGCGAAGCGCGAGTAACTTCGCGCCCTCGAGGGCGCCCTTGCCGGCTACACGCAAGAGTGACCCTGGGTAAGAGTGACCTTTGGTGCGCGGCTGTTTGGGGGCCGCGGGGGGGACCCAACCTGGGCGCGCAGGCCGCTGCTCCTGCTTTGTTTTCAGCCATCTGGGGACCCATCTGTGCTCGCACCAAAGGTCACTCCGGCGAAAGGTCACTCTTACCTCTAGTCGACCTTGGTCTCTCGATTCCCCCCGGCCTGGGACACCGCTGCCCATGGCGGCAGCAGGTCGGCCGCCAGCAGCTCCGGCCGCGCGCCCAGCAGCTGCGCCGCGTTCAGGGCCCGGCGGAGGTCGCCGCGGGCCGCCTTGGCGATGGACGTGACGCCCTTCTCCGCGCCCTTGACGCCCTCCACCTCCCGAGCAGCTCAAGGCACCTTCCTCCTCCTCCTCCTCCTCCTCCTCCTCCCTCCCTCCTACTCCCCATCCTCCTCCTCCTCTCCTCCTCCTCCTCTCCTGCTCCTCCTCCTTTCCTCCTCCTCCTTCTCCTCATCCGTCCCTCCTCCTCCTCCTCCTCCTCCTCCTCCGTCCTCCTCGTGCTCTGCCTTTCGACCTTCCTCCGTTTCTCCCTCTCCCTACTCTCCCTGCCCCCCTCCCCCGCCTCCCCCTCCCCCCAAAAACCCGGCCCGCCCGACCTCCGTGACTCGCTGCAGGATCCGGTGGAGGCAGACGTTCAGCTGCACCGGCAGGTGCAGGCACACCGAGGTCACGGCCTCCATCCTCAGGACCTCCTCGCTGCCCAGCAGTATGAGCGGCATCGGGGTGGCCCGCGCGGCGGCGCAGATGCGGTCCTCCACGGAGGCCATGGCCTCGTCGGGGATGTGCATGATGACGACGGAGCCCTCGCACGTCGTCTGCCTGCGGGCCAGGGTGTCCAGGAAGGACCTCCCCGCCTTCGCCCGAGCAAGGAGGGAACACTGACCCCAACCAACCCCCCCGGGGCGCCGCCGATCTCCCGAGGGCAGCATGCTGCGCGCGGTCGTTGTCCTTCCGACGACGCGCTGGTGAGGTCCACCCAACGGGCACGAGATTGAGAGGCAGCCCTCGAAATCATTAGCGTTCTTGTGAAGCAGCGTACCTGATCCAAAACACCCGAAAGCACGCATGGGCAAAAACTGTGCGCAAGCACACGAACAACAAACGAAACAACAACAAAAAAACATGTTTACCACCAAGGGGGACATCACACACTCCGCCACTAGCCAGACCCAACGGGCCAGAGGGGGTCCTTGGCGAGGGATCAGTGTCTACTCTTCCTTGGGGAGTCCTTCTCGTCCAGGTCGTACTCCAGATAGTGCCCCTTGGCGCTCTCCGCTGTCATCCGTGCGCCGATGGTCTTGCCGCACCCGGTGGGCCCAGTGATGAGGGCCGCCCCGTACGCGCCTCCCCTCTTGCAGGTCTGCCACTCCAGGAGCCACTTCCTGATCAGCAATGCAAGATCCCCAAAACCTTTCTGGGCGCGGGCCTCAGTTACAAGCATGAGGGATAGAGGATAGAGATTTTTTGTTATCTGCGGATGGATCAAACCAGACCACCCAGACGCATTTCCCTGGTGCAAGCACGGCAGCCTAAGACAGGCTGCGCCCGAACTGCGCCGCTCAGGCCCGGGGGTCTTTGAGTCTCGATGACTCCCACTTGTGGGGTGGACCTCTTCGGCTGCACGCAGGGCGTGGTAAAACAGGGCTAGGATCGGGATAAATCGCTCCAAAACGCTCCGGAGCGCTCTCAGAGCGTTCCGGAACGCTCTGGAGCGGCCGCGGCGCCCAATGCATCCTCCAAACCCGCCGCTTCTCCGAGAGTTCGAGTCATCCCGATCCGATTTTGCCCCGAGCTTCGCGTCGTTTTACGTGGCCCTGGACAAAAGAGCAGCGACCTCTGGCGCGACTCGCCGCGCGGTTGCGCGCCCGTGCGACGTCAAGCGGCCTGCGCGGTCGGTGTTCGCACCCCCTCCGTGGCCCCCGAGAGCCGCGCGTTCCTGAAGGGGCCCCAGGACACACAAATAAATACACACGTATAAAATAATCCTAAATACACACAAATGAAATAATCCCCCATATTTTGCCATATCTTCTGGGTTTCTGTTTTCCCCCCCACTGCCCATAGTTTCCCATATTTTCTGGGGAATCGACGACCAATTGTGTCTGTGTGTTGTTCCCCCTCCTGAGTTCCAGAGGCCGCTCCTGCGGCGAAGGACCGCTGTTACGTGCCCCCGGGATCCCAGACATCCGGCGTGTCGAACAAAAAACGAAGCGGCGTTGTCTCCACAATTGTTCGGTCTCTCTCGGGGCCCCTACCAGACCTCGGGCCCAGCAAGGGCCGGCCTCGGGATGAAAAAGCGGTCCTGGGGAAATGCTCGGGAGGTCGGGGGCACGCGTCTCGAACAAATCCAGACACCGGATGTCTGGGTTTCTGGCGTTGGCGAGTGCCCAACGGTGGCTGGGGAGAGGCAATCGATAGGAGGCCTCGGAGGGGAAGGGCCTCAGAAGCGTGGTCGCAGCCAGTGGGGGTGAATCGCAAAGCGTGTGGAGCGGGCTCGGATTGATGGAAGTTCGGTTAGCAATTTTGTGATACAATCTATAACGAACCAGTTGTCCTGATCGGACCTTTCGCGGACAGTTGCCCAGACATTCATTCCTGCAGGTCTGCGCGCCCTCAAAAGAGCCTGATGGCGAGGTGGATGCTGGTGATGGTGAGGTGGAAAATTGGTGATAGTGAGACGGGATGGACGATTATGATGGCGAGATCGATGATGGTGGTGATGAAATGGATGGTGGTGACGATGAATTTATGATGGTGCTGAGGCTTGTTGATGAAGTTTGATGCAGCCCGTTGGCGATGATGATGATGGTGAACAAGTAATCATCGTGATATGGATGATGGTGATGGGATGATGGGTGCTGCCGACGATGGAAACATGATGGTGATGGTGATGGATGGTGATGATGACCAGGCACACGAGGCACACAAAACGTACCGACGGGGTACACCAGGCACCGACGAGGCACTCCAGGCACTTCGACCACTAACACCATGTACACCGACAAGGCACACCAGGCACACCATACAAACAGACCACGCACACCAGGCACACCGACCAAACACACACACACACACACATGCACACACACACACACACACACCAGGCACACCGACCACGCACACTAGGCACACCAGGCACACCGACCAAGCACACAAGACAAACACACACCAGGCACACAGACCAGGCACACGAAGCACACCAGGCACAGCGACCACGCACACCACGCACACCGACCCAGCACACCAAGCACACCAGGCACACGGACCAGGCACACCTGCACACAGACCAGGCACACCACGCACACCGACCAGGCACACCACGCACACCAGGCACACCGACCAGGCACACCAGGCACAGCGACCACGCACACCGACCAGGAGGGGCACGGGAAAACGGAGGAGGCCGTGACTTCCGAGGCAATGCGCGGCGGCGGAAACCGGCGGGGGGCCGCGCAGCCGAGCGCGGCGGCGTGGCGCGGCGGGCGCGACGCGCGGCGGGCGCGTCAGTCGGCCCGCCCGCGAAGACCCTGGCTAGCAGCCTTCTCTTGACTGGAGGTCCCCCGTGCACGTCCACCACGGCAGCCGCGGGGAAAGCGGGATGTCTGTCCTCTGGCAATTCGGGCGGCCATCGCCACGACAGCCCGCGGGATATAGAAAGGGCTCCGCGAATCACTTCGACAAGCAAACTACAGTATACCGTGCACGACGGCCTTCCCCACAGCGTAATAGTTCACATGCAGCAGCCGGAGAATCGAGTGCACCTCGTCGCAGACGTCACTGGCCTTGGGAACGCACGCCGAGAACAAGAGAACCTTCGTCTCGACCGCATCTCTTCCAAATATCGACCGCATCGCTTCCGAATAGATTCGGTGGGAAGCCCTTCCCCAGCAACCCCTGGAAAGGCTGACCGCGGCAGGCCGCGCGACGCCTCGCGCCCGCGAGCGGAACGACCTGGATTCGCTCCGCGGCACGCTTCAGCGTCGGCGCCCACGAGTCCCGCGCGATCGCGCGCCGCGGGAAAAAGCGATCCGCCAGCAGCGCGTCAATTTCCCCCCCGCCAGTTCATGACTGCACCCCTGGACAGCCCCTCACAGAAACCGACGCGGCGCTCTGCCGGCGCCAGCGGACAAGCCCCTGGCAAACAGCGCTGGCGCGACCGCTGGAGCAAACCAGCGCGCCCCCCGGCACCCGGGCCCCGCCCGCTCGCCGGCGATTACCGCGAGCGCGCCAGACGCGTCTCGCAGGTGGCCTTCTCAGCACATGCCTCTTGCGCTCGTCCGAGTCACCGGCTTCATCTCCAGGGTCGTCGCGGCACCACCCGCAACGGGACAGCAATCGAGAATGTGCACATCTCCCCGAGCGTCACGCGCTTATCGCGAACGCCTGGCTGACAGCCTCCGTGTTTCGCAAACGTGCCTGCGTTGCCCGCGCTGTACAGCCAAGTCGGTTTCTGACGCGCGCTCAATTTGCGCATGGGCACTCCAGGGTGACAGAGCTCCCGAAAAGCGCCCAACCGCAGAACGCTGCTGAGAAACACCTGGGCCCGCCGCTCTCTTCCCTGGACACCGTCAGCTCCGCCCACCCCGTTCCCATCAGAATGCCACGCATCTTCCGCCGCCGAAGAGAAAACGCACGTGCCCGGCGGCCCGAACGAAGTTCGGCAGCTCCTTCTCAGGACAGCCTTCAGAAACCAGCTGGCCACGCAACTCACGCGCCCGGGCCTTCAGATGAAACACTAAACGTTGCGCGTGATCTACAACATTCAGCACCGAGGCGCGGCGGAGACCAGCGGCAAGTCGCCCGTTGAGGGCGGCGCCACCTGCGCGACGGGAACCGCGCTTGCGCGCCCTCCGCGTTTGCCGGAATGGCTGGACCAGTGCAAAGCGCTTGATCTCATATGGCGGCGGGCAGCGCAGCGAGAGTTTTCGGCCCGCGCACGTGGCGGCCCAGCAAAACTCTGGCTCCCTACGGGTTGAAACGAGCTCGAACCTGCGTTGATGACGACACTATCGCCAGAGCCCGCTCCAGCAGCTCGGAGCGCTCGGCGTCGTGCAGGTTTGCTCCACAGCTGCGGACGCAGCTGGCTGCGTCCGCAGCTGGACCAGCCCCCCGCCTCGAAGACTACAGACTTCGGGCGGGCCTGTACCCCTACAGGGGGATTTGGGGCGAAAGCTTAAACATACGCCCAAAAATACGCCAAACATGCGCCAATACTTTAAAAAAAAAAACGCCCCCAAAAAATATGCCCAAAAAATCGTCCCCACACTATTTCGTGACGAAGCTTGAAGGCTCCTCCTGTAGAGGGTCACGCCCGGCTTCAGACCAGCTCGGCGCCCGCCGCCCGGGCAGCCGCGAGGCCGCCCCCAGGGGGGCCCGCCGCCCGCGCGCGGAGGAGCAGCGCGCCACTCCCCGTGTGACGCGGCGGCCCTCAGATGGGTCCCCGTGTGACGCGGCGGCCCTCTCCACGTCAACGTTGGGCGCCCGAATTATCCGGGGTAACTCGGGTCCGGGGTAAGTCGGGTTTGGATTCCCGAAAAAGGAACCCGAGTTATCCCTGACCCGAGTTACCCCTGATGATTCGGGGCTCTGGACGCCCGAGTTATCCGGGGTAACTCGGGTCCGGGGTAACTCGGGTTTGGATTCCCGAAAAACGAACCCGAGTTATCCCTGACCCGAGTTACCCCTGATGATTCGGGGCTCTGACAACGCGTCACACGGGGAGTGGAGTGTGACGTTGACGCAGGCCACGCGCCACTCCGCGTGCGACGTGGCGGCCCTCAGATGGGCCCCTCCAGCCCTTTCCCGCCACTCTCGGGTCGGGCGTGTCCCCCATACGGGGGGCTTTTCGACCAAAGATAGAAAAGACTCCCCCAAAAAAGCAAAAGGGTCCAAAAATGCCCAAAAAGTAGTCCTCCGGCGATTCTTTGACTAGTTTTGAATATTCCCCCTGTAGAGGGACAGACCCGACTTAACACATGTGACATGGCGGCCCTCAGATGGGTCCCTCCATCCCCTCCGGCTGCTCCCCTGGGACGCACAGGGACAAACTAATACTACATGTCCTCCTTGGAGGCGCGCGTCCGACCCGAACATGTAGTACACCTATCCTGTAGTAGATCGCTTCCCGAGCGGTGTGGCCAGAAAGCGCCCACCACGACGCATATACCATATAAGATTTCTCGGTGCGCGCGTCGCCCCTGAGGGGGCGCCGCACATATAGTATAAG